CGGGGCTTCTCATGAACGGGGAGGCCATGCCACGATTGGAGACATATCACTCCTCGTTAAACCATGTTAAACTCGAAGGTAACCCTCCCTCAATAAGGGCTTTTCCGCACCCAAAAGCTCATGGGATTGAGTCACTTACCGTTCACCTCTTGAGTTGGGCAGCTGGAAATTGGAATGAGCGACGCACTGAACACTGAAGACTCTCTAAACATCTCTAAACCCTGAACCCTGAAGATTTCATCTTTCTGCTGGCCAGGAGAAGCCTCAGATGATGGATGCATCACAGCTGTGGCATGCTGCGCGATGCCCAGCGAATCTCCGGTTTCGTCAAGGTGTCATGCGCTCGTTGATACCCAGTTTGTCAACCCGTACATGCTTGGATGGAAACCGCGCACAGCACCTCAATAACAAAGCCACACCGGTTACTGTAGGAAACTGTGCACACATGCTAGAGGGTGAGATTAAGTTCGATATACCGGAGGATCTAGGTGGTGAGATGTGTTGAGCTGAGGGTGTTTGGGGTAGCAAAATGCCAATGGGGCCTGTAATGTAGATGCAAGTCGGCTTGCCGGGTGGTTCGCTTGTTTGTCGTCTGATCAACGAGGAGTCCCTGGTAAAGACGAGCGTCTGTGAGAGCAAGGTCGAAAGCTGGTTTACATCAAGGTCCTTTTAATATAAGGGCTCTATCCAACCCGTCAGAGGACCCTTGGCTAGAGCCAGGGCTCCCTGTCATTCATCAAGCTCCGAGCACAGGTCCACACTGGTGACCTGGAGATCGTCAAGGCTTTTGTGCGAAGGCGACCGAGATCCCGAGCATCTGATTGCAGTCGTTCGCACAATTGCGCTCTGCCCGTCTGGAGGAGCTCATGCAACGGGAGGTCCCGCGATGCTGGCATCTGAGGAACTCAAATTCGATGCCGCAGTCAAGAGATGGAAAAAGGTTCCTATCCAATCAGATCTGCAGGCGTGTTGTCGCGTTCGATCTCTTGGCATTTATCATCACCACGGCTCCACTTGCTGCAGCAAGGCTTCCGGGCACTCCATCCTTTGGCACGCCATTGCCTTCAACCACCACAGCGGGGATGCCTGGCGCCACTCTTGAATCGGAGGGTTTTAGCTTTGGCTTCCCATGGTCCGGGTGATTCCTGACAACTTCGCTTCTGCACTCCCTGGCCTTCTCCGTGCCTCTCGAGCTATCCTTATTTCGTCTAGCAGCGCTGTGGCCCTGGAGGCCTTGCGCGCTTTGTCGTGGAAACTTTCCCTCCCGGCACTGACGACGGGATCGAGGACCGGCCTTGAGTGGCCCTCCCATGAGATTCGTGAGGTTTTGGCCCTCTGCTGGTAGCTACCGCTATGGCTGGATTGCGAGTGACGGTGTAGTGGCTTAGTGACGAATGCGCCTCGCTGTCGCATCATCAGTGCAGGTCGACGAGGTGCATCAACGCAGAGGAGATACTTTGCTCCATTTGCTCCTGGGCTGCAAGATCCATGCTGCCTTTAGGGGCCTTGAGGGTTGCAAATTGTGGGACTTTGTATCAGTTGCAGCTTAAAAAAACCTGCCGGTTTTCATAGTTAAAATCCCTGGGGGGCAAGGCAGGGGACATGACCAGGATAGCTTATAGGAGGTTCCTAGAAGTGCCAAAGTCGTGGAAGTGCCTCCAAGGCACTTAACTCAGCTCTTGCGCTAAAACTTTAAGAAGCACAGGCGGTAAACACCGGTTTCATACACAGCTGTGTTTGAGTGATCCGAGCATTGTGATCATGTACGCCATGAACCTGCGCAAAAAGCCACAAGAGTTACATTCACAAGAGTTGCCTGAGGCTTTGTCTCAGCCGCTCCTTTGATGCGGAGGTGGGATTGAATTTGTGCAGCGATCGGAGAAAGCTTGTGAGCCATGCGATAAGAGCGAATAGTGCGCGGGAACCATGGGTACAGAAACTATCATTGGCTGCAGGCAGCTGCGCTTTTCAAGAAAATTGCGGCCAAAGCTCCGCCTGCAGTGTGCGGCACCTTGAACCAGCTTGTCAGATCTTGTTGGAGGGCCTCGTTCGAGTAAGACGGCAAAGAGTGGGTTCTCCGTGGTTCTCCCTCACAACCTCACCGTGCAGCTGCGCAAATGCCCTGGGGGGGGGGGGTGGTCCATGGAGGGGGTGCCCCAAGCCAAAGGTCCTCCAGACCCCAATGCTTTTGCACTTTTTTCACGCTTTCTTTGCCCGTTTTCTTTTGTTTCATGTGGGACCGACCCACCTGCTGGCAGCCCCACGGCATCGAATTGCAGATCCCCCAAAGGAAATTGGCAGGTTGCGCGCAGTGGCGGTGTGTGGGGGGGGGAAGGGTTGGGAAGGAGGAGACACGATCCTGGTCTGCTTGTCACAATTGTCTCAAATGCCGGGGCAAATCACGAGGCACTTGCTATCTGATCTTGCGCGTGTCGAGGTCATGTCTTGAAACCCCCATATCACGTTCAGCTACTGTTCGTTTTTTCGTGTTTCGAAAAATTTCATTACAAAATGATACCAAGCTTTTCTGAGGACATCGAGCTTGTCAGGCCTAGTGTTCATCCTTCTTCCTGACCCTGCCCATCCTGGTCATCTGTCAGAAGGTTTCGAGAGAGTCGTTTAGCAACTCTATAGCAACTCTTGCGCCACCAAGCGCCACCCATTGACCTTTGTCCTCAAGGTTGGCACATGCCCCGGTGGAGGGTTGCCCACCTGTGGGTTGTACTGGTTGAAGCATTGCCTGACCAGAAAGTCCACAAAAGAGCAATCGTGCAAACAGTGCCTCTTTTCGCATCAACATGCAGCAGATTTGCATGAGTGCTACCCATGCGCAATCGTGCTGGACAACAAGTCTTGTGCGCTCTTCGCGCGATGAACCAAGGTTTCAGAAGGTCAACAATGCTGGCCTGACATTTGCTCACGTTGGAGCCACAGATTTAGTATGAACTAATAATCAAGCTTCTTAGTAGACCGCATTTTGATTACTTAGACGGCTTGACCTAAACTTTATGTGAGTTGGGCGAACTCTCATGCTCAGTCGGCTTCAGTGTTGCAAAGACTGCTGCTGTGTGGCTGTGTGCATTTGCTGAAATGAAAACTCAGATTGCTGCCTCGAACTTGAACTTTTGGGTTCTCACCTTTATCTTCAAGAACTTCCAGGCGAGGGGAGGTTATGTTGCCTCGCGTGCCTCGCGTGCCTCCGCGTGTCGCGGCAACCTTTCCCTGTGCTTCTTTGGTCTCCGAAGGCACAGGCAAAAGCTCTCGTGTGCGCAGACAGCCATCCCATGAAACAGCTCCTGCAGGCTGGGTGGGCCAAGGCCACAAGGCACAGGAGTTTTTGACACTGAAAAAGCCCTCCAATCCCTCCAGGCGATGCCTCAGCCTGTGCCACCGCCTGCTGGGACCTGAGCCTTTGGCTGGTGAAGCCCCACCATGTTTCCATTATTGCCGTCTGAGAATCTGACACCCTTCGGCGCCTTTCCTCCCTCAACCCGGCCTTAAAATTCCCTACCCGAACCCTGAGCACAAAAGTTTGCAGGCTTCCTCCGCAACAACTCCGAACACACCTCCGGATCCTGCGTTCACCATATCACCTCTTCGGGCCCAGGCCTATCAGCCACCTGTAGGATTCCCGGACCACTTCCGGGTCGCAGCCATGCTGCAGCAGGAGAGGAAACTGAGAAACCTGGGCTTTGCAGTTGCAGTGGCTTTAAGGGGGGGAGGGGGGGGCCCGGGTTGGGGTCTTTTTAGGGTTTAGGGAAGCTTGCACTAGAGGGTGCCCATCGTCTGGGCGCTGCTGCTTCAGCACCGAACAGCTGAGCTCAGAGGGGCCGTAGTTCCGGTGGGGTTAATAGCACATCACTTAACTTCTTCTTAAGCACCGATATTGTAGTCATCTGTAGGTGCACAAGCAAGGGTGCGGGTAGACTTGCGGGAGTCTAGTGAGAACAAGAAGAAGGGAGCACTGCACTTTGGACTCACTTTGCACTTCCGGGATCTGGTTATGATAGGTGTCATGCGTCGTCGAGCAGCCGCGCTTCGACTGAAGCTGCACAGAAGGAAGCAAATATGGGTCAGTGCAGTTGTGTTCTAGTGGAGCAGGACTCCAACGGCGTTGTCCCATATGCGGACGTGGCGTTCGATGTTGGCCCGTGACCAAGATGGCAGCCGGTCCCTACAGTAGTGTTTCGTTGAAGTTGATCTTCGAGGGAAGGACTAAGGAGTGAGGCATCCAGGTTTGCAAGTACGTACAAGATTTACATGTAGGGCTGTGATTGAACTGGGTTGATTTCTCGTGTCGACATGTTTCGGTGGTTACACTCCGAACTTCAAGCAGCCGTGCAGGGCCCGAGCTGAAGGGCGTGGCTGCTGGCCGCTTTCTGGCTCACCGCATCGTACGGGGCTCCAGGTGGGTTTGGGCCAGTTTCGTGACTCAGCTGGGTAGGTTCGGGTTCAGATGCTGACAAGCTGTCATGTTTTGTCATGCCGGACTAGGGCCACTCAGTATAGCAACTTGGCCACTTGTGTGAACCGCACTCAATTCACATCTGCTGGAGCTGGCAGTAGTCTGCACTTAGCTGCCCAGGAGTTGCCTATGGACTGTGTATCAGACGTGTTCCATGACGGCCTAGCCAGTTTTGGCTCTCCCAGCCTTTGTCTGCGAACGCAGATCCTCCATTTTCGCTTGGGCCGAGACAGGTCGCTGTTCTCATCCGCTCATTTCGTCTAGCTGCTGCTGCACGCTCACTTGTTTCGTTGTTCAGCTGAGCTTGCCATTTCTGCAGATACCAGTCGTAAAGCAAAGCATTAGGCCCAAGCTTCGCGATATTCCGAATGCAATGCAGCGTATTGAATGGTTTCGGAACTGCTGTGGATCGAACATGACGCTGGCTTAACCTGCTGAGCCCTGGTCTTGCATTGGGCTGCAGTTCAATAACATTGTCGGGGTTTGTTATGTCCTCGTGGCTGCTGAGGATCACCTTCCGCATCGAAGGTGGCACATGTTTGTCTACAAAGTGCTTGCAGCGCTCCCTGGCACAGATGCCGAACGGTTGTCTCGGCAGTTGGCCAGAGAAGGGCACCCCAGCAGAAGCCGTCCGGATCTGTACTGATCTACTGTCTGCACAGGGCGGATTGGGGGAGAGGTCTCAACGCTCAACATGTGCAAGACATTCTAGGCTCCTACTGGCCGCCACAGCGGCAGCGGTGCATCAGCCACATGGACACTTGGCACAAACGGAACACGCGTGTTCCATGTTCAACCCAGGCGACCTGTACGGAGACACCTTTCAGTTGTTGGGGTTCATTGAGTCTGGCGCCACTGCAACGTGTTTCGTAGATGTTCATCGCGTGTTTCCAGCGTAACTGGCAACCGTCGGTAACCCAGGTGAGGAACGAAGGCAGAAGTTGCTCCGCACTGGCTCCAAGCACATAAGGCCGACGGATGGGTCATGTCGAATCGGAATCTCTCTTTATAGGTGCTTCTTGCTCGGTGCGTCAGTGCCACAGCTCTCATGGTCCAATCTGCCTTTGCAGCGTGTCGAGACCAGGCGACATCGGCGAGAAGCTTCCGTGGACGCGTGGCTGCGACGTGAGTGAGCATCAACAACTTCGCAGGTTCAGGTTTTCTGCCAAGTTAGTGGGTCGCATGCCGAGATTCAGTTCAAGGCAGACTTGTCTTAAGTCCTAAGAGCCGGATCATAAGACAGGGCACTCGATGAGTGAGCCGCCTGGGTTGTTGCTTTGGCTTTGGTCTGCCCAGGATGCCTTGGGCAGGGTGGAGACCTCGGACAGTCTGGATGCTCGAAGGAGGCTGCCTTGTGTCACTGTGCATTTAAGGGGTTCTTATTGCCGGGGACATGAGAGCAATGCAAAGCTGTTCGGGCGAATGCCAGCGGACAACGCGGACAACATCGGTACCTGTTGCAGGATGTCACGAAGAGGTCACGATTTCAGTCTTACTCCCTGGCGGCAAGGTAAGTGGTGCTGCCCGCTAGCAGCCAGTACGGCTCGATACTCTGCGCTACAACCCACGTATAGGGCCTTCCCTGATGCTCTTGGAACTTGGAAAGCGCAGGAAAGGGCACCTTGTCCTCGCTGAGCGCGCGGTGCCGTCCCCAAGTCCCTCTGCTTTCAGTTTTTTTCACCTTTGAAGTCTTTCTCATTGGGTGTATTTGGTGTCGTCTCGAAAAGCAATGGAGCTTGTAAGCATCTGTAGGCTGCACGGGCAAGGCAAAACAAGGCAGGCTTTCGAGTCCATGTCACCCTTGACATGGAAGAGAACTAAGCCAAGGTCCCGCCACCAAGGGCGACACGAAGGTCACAAATGATGCAAAGCAAGAGAGTGCTGCGGCCCGCACTGCAGGGACGAAGGCTGTTGCGTTCGGCTTCTGCCGGCTCTTTTTTGTCAGTGGCAATGCTCTTGCCAGTGTCATTTGCTTGATCGCAAGTCTCGCGGGCATGACCCCTCTGTGCCTTCGTGCTGCGTTGCAGTCCCGGTTGCAGTCCATAGACGAATGCAAAGATGTAGCAACGCCGACTCGATAATTACACGGTGCCTTCGTTTATGCTTTACCCAGGCGCGGCGGCGAAAGCAGAAACAGCAGATGGCAGCGGGAAAGATGTGAGCCCGTTTGATGAGAGCAAGCCGGCTCTTTGCCAGCATCCATCCTGGCAACTCAGTCCTTTTCCGTCGGGCTTTCGATCAATGAGCCCAAATCCCTCGGAGGACACCAACGATATCCGATGCTCCTGCTTTCCCTGAGTTTGGACTCGCAGAGTTGTGGAGCCGAGGTCTCCTGCCACAAGGAGGACAATAAGACCGTCTGCGAACAAGGACCCCAGACTCTTTGAAACTCCGGTCTGCCAGATCTGCCATGTTCTGCATGTAGCACCTTGACTTGACGGCACCTGACAGAGACTGAAGAAGGTAGGGCTGTAGCAGGCTAGGCGTCCCGGTCCCAAAGTCCAGATATGCTGGGATTCTGGATCCGTTCATTTGGTGCCAGGTGGCGTGCCCATGAAGCCCTGGAAGTGCGCGGAAGGGCAAAGCATTTGCTGCAATCCGCGCATGAAAGAGTCCTACTACCTCCGGTGTGCCCTGGCTACTGAAGAGTGGATGCTAAACCATGCTCGCCAAAGCATCAAGGTTTAGCGGGCATTATCGCCAGTGCGCCTACCTGGGAGTTGTTGGCTTGAGCTGAGGTGTTGCTAGGGAGTGCTACAAGGTCCGTGACGAAGCTTGACCAGCATGTCGATGTGTCTTTACTAGTCGGACGGGGTGTGCCTCTTTTGCTGCATGGGTTCGAGTGCGAAACCATCCCTTGCTGTTGTAGCAAGACTGCAAAATCAGATGTCTGCGCATGCGACTGTGCGAGAGATTCTTGTACGAGCTGGAGATGGCTAGATGTTTGGGGTGGCATGGACCTTTATGTATTATTTGGCATTTGCTCTTGGTTAATAATCAGTTTGCATATACGCTTCTATGCCTGTTATCATAGTTGAAGACTTTCGTTTTCTGTCGCGTCGCGACGTTTCGTCAAACCATTCCCGAGGCCGAAATACTCACGAGGGTTTAGGCGTTAGGGTTTAGGCCCAAGGGACCCTTTCCCCACATTGCTAAGAACAAAACAAGAGAAAAGAACACAGAGACATGTAGAGAGCTGTGGAAGCTGGTTAGAAGGGGCAGGGGAAGTCCTCCTTCCATCTCATCATTCCCTTCATTCTCCTTGCTTAACCTTGCCCTTGTGCTACTCCCCTAATGACACAAAGAAGAGAGGAGGAAAGGCTCGTGGGATGGACACGAGAAAAGGGAGAGCGGAGAAAGGAGGAGAACGAACGTGGGAAAAGAAAGGAAGGAGAGCTAGAGAGAGGATGGAGAGATAGAGAGGGGAAATGAAGGACAAAGACCGTGGAAGAAAGGAGTGAGCGATGCTCGGGAAGTAAGCGTAAGGGTGAGGAAAACGAACAGTGGATAACAAAAACAAGTGTCCTGCCCCACCTCTTCTCGTTTCTGCTTGATTTTCTCCGTCTCCTTGTTGTTCTCCAAGCAATCCTGTTTCCACCATCGCTTCCTCCTTCCTCTTCTTCATTGTTTCTGTGTCCTTCACCCTGTTTCCCTCGCTGTCGCTCTTCCGCTGCCTTCCTTCTTCCTCTTCTCCCTGATTACTGTCTCCTTCTCTTTGCTTCTCTGTCTGTCTCCATCTCTCTCACTCCGGCGCCGCCCTGTGTTTCTGTTCATTGCTCATCCTTTCTGACTTTACGAGGCAGAACCTGTACAAACGATGGGCCCTGTTCTGGACATGGCCCTGCACTGCCTCTTTCAACACACTCCAAACCCTCTGAGCTTCCCCCAAGAGTTTCAGGCGGCCTTCAGAGAGCGTCCCCCAAGGGGCCTCCAAGAGTGAAGGAGAGGTGTCAGAGGAGGACCCTTTCCCCACATTGCTAAGAACAAAACAAGAGAAAAGAACACAGAGACATGTAGAGAGCTGTGGAAGCTGGTTAGAAGGGGCAGGGGAAGTCCTCCTTCCATCTCATCATTCCCTTCATTCTCCTTGCTTAACCTTGCCCTTGTGCTACTCCCCTAATGACACAAAGAAGAGAGGAGGAAAGGCTCGTGGGATGGACACGAGAAAAGGGAGAGCGGAGAAAGGAGGAGAACGAACGTGGGAAAAGAAAGGAAGGAGAGCTAGAGAGAGGATGGAGAGATAGAGAGGGGAAATGAAGGACAAAGACCGTGGAAGAAAGGAGTGAGCGATGCTCGGGAAGTAAGCGTAAGGGTGAGGAAAACGAACAGTGGATAACAAAAACAAGTGTCCTGCCCCACTTCTTCTCGTTTCTTCTTGATTTTCTCCGTCTCCTTGTTGTTCTCCAAGCAATCCTGTTTCCACCATCGCTTCCTCCTTCCTCTTGCTCATTGTTTCTGTTTCCTTCACCCTATTTCCCTCGCTGTCGCTCTTCCGCTGCCTTCCTTCTTCCTCGTCTCCCTGATTACTGTCTCCTTCTCTTTGCTTCTCTATCTGTCTCCATATCTCTCACTCCGGCGTCCCCGGTGTTTTCTGTTCATTGCTCATTCTTACGAGGCAGACACTGTGCAAACGATGGGTCCTGTTCTGGACATGGTCCTGCACTGCCTCTTTCCACACACTCCAACCATCTCTGAGCCTCCACAAAAATTCACACGTCTTCTCCCCAAAAACCCTCCAAGAGTGAAGGAGAGGTGTCAGAGGAGGACCCTTTCCCCACATTGGTAAGAATAAAAACAAGAGAAAAGATCACAAAGACATGTGGAGAAGTGTGGAAGGTAGTTAACTGCAAGGAGCAGGAGAAGTCCCCCTTCCATCATATCATTCCCTTCTTTCTTTTTGCTTAACCTTGCCCTTCTGCTATCCCCCCCCTACTGAATGACAAACGGAACAGCGGAGGAAAGGGTCATGGAATGGACACGAGAAAAGCGAGAGCGGAGAAAGGAGGAGAGCGAACATGGAGATAAAAAAAAGGAGGGAGAGCTACAGAGAGGATAGAGAGAAAGAGAGGGGAAATGAAGGACAAAGACCGCCCATCCTTTACGAGGCAGACCCTGTGCAAACGATGGGTCCTGTTCTGGGCATGGTCCTGCGCTGCCTCTTTCCACAAAATTTCACACGCCTTCTTTTCAAGGGGCCTCCACGAGTGAAGGAGAGGTGTCAGAGGAGGACCCTTTCCCCACATTGCTAAGAAGAAACCAAGAGAAAAGAACACAGAGACATGCAGAGAGCTGTGGAAGGTAGTTACAAGGCGCAGGAGCAGTCCTCCTTCGATCTTATCATTCCCTTCATTCTCCTCGCTTAACCTTGCCCCCGAGAAAAGGGAGAGCGGAGAAAGGAGGAGAACGAACATGGAACAAGAAAGGAAGGAGAGCTAGAGAGAGGATAGAGAGATAGAGAGGAGAAATGAAGGACAAAGACCGTGGAAGAAAGTAGTGAGCGATGCTCGCAGAAACAAGTGCCCTGCCCTACCTATTCCCTTTTCTTCTTGATCTTCCCTGACCCCCTTTTGTTCTCCAAGCGACCCTCTTTTCACCGTCGCTTCCTCCTTCCTCTTTTGTGTCCTTCACCCTGTTTCCCTATATGTCGCTCTTCCACTGTCTTCCTTCTTCCTCTTCTTCATGATTACCGTCTCCTTCTCTTTGCTTCGCAGTCTGTCTCCATCTCTTTCACTCCGGAGCCCCCCCGTTGTTGCCTATGCATTGCTCATCCTTTCTGACTTTACGAGGCAGACCCTGTACAAACGATGGGTCCTGCTCTGGACATGGTCCTGTGCTGCCCACATTGCTAAGAAGAAAATTATTTTGCTTTTAACATCCAAACCCTCTCTGCGTAGAGATACTCTGGGGTTGGGCACTCCAGGGACACTCTGGGGCTGGGCACTCCAAACACAGTGGGGTGGGGCACTCCAGGGAGACTCTCCGGGGACACTGGGGTTGGGCGCTCCAGGTCTGGGTTGGGCGCTCCAGAAACACTTTGCGGGTTGGGCACTCCCGGGCGAGGAGAAGAGTTCTGGGCGAGGAGAAGAGTTGCGGTTAAGATCTAACAACCCCACACCGAGGGTGGGGAACAAGAGAAAAGAACACAAAGACAAAGGTAGTTAGAAGGAGCAGGAGAAGTCCTCCTTCCATCTCATCATTCCCTTCATTCTCCTTGCTTAACCATGCATGCCCCTTGTTCTATCCGCCTACTTAATGACCAAAGGAACAGAGGAGGAAAGGGTCAAAAGGAGAGCGGAGAAAGGAGGAGAACGAACATGGGAAAAAAAAGGAAGGAGAGCTAGAGAGAGGATAGATAGATGGAGAGGAGAAAAGAAGGACAAAGACCGTAGAAGAAAGGAGTGAGCGATGCTCGGGTAATAAGTGTAAGGGCTAAGGAAAAGGAACAGTGGATAACAAAAACAAGTGTCCTGCCCTACCTCTTCTCTTTTCTTCTTGATCTTCTCTGTCTCCTTTTTTGTTCTCCAAGCGGTCCTCTTTTCACCATCGCTTCCTCCTTCCCCTTCCTCATTGTTTCTGCTTCCTTCACCCTGTTTCCCTATCTGTCGCTCCTCCGCTGTCTTCTTTCTTCCTCTTCTCCCTGATTACTGTCTCCTTCTCTTTGCTTCTCTATCTGACTGTATCTGTCTCCATCTCTCTCACTCCGGTGCCCCCCGGAGATATGTAGAGTGGCCTGGAAGGTAGTTAGAAGGAGCAGGAGAAGTCCTCCTTCCATCTTATCATTCCCTTCATTCTCCTTGCTTAACCTTGCCCTTGTTCTATCCCCCTACTTAATGACAAAAGGAACAGAGGAAGGAGAGCTAGAGAGAGGATAGAGAGATAGAGAGTAGAAATGAAGGACAAAGACCGTGGAAGAAAGGAGTGAGCGATGCTTGAAAAAAACAAGCGCCCTGCCCTACCTATTCCCTTTTCTGCTTGATCTTCTCTGACCCCTTTTTGTTCTCCAAGCGGCCCTCTTTTCACCGTCGCTTCCTCCTTCCTCTTCGTCATTGTTTCTATTTCCTTCGCCCTGTTTCCCTATCTATCGCTCTTCCACTGTCTTCCTTCTTCCTCTTCTCCCTGATTACTGTCTTCTTCTCTTTGCTTCGCTATCTGTCTCCATCTCTTTCACTCCGGAGCCCCCCGGTGTTGCCTATGCATTGCTCATCCTTTCTGACTTTACGAGGCAGACCCTGTACAAACGATGGGTCCTGCTCTGGACATGGTCCTGCACTGCCTCTTTCCACACACCCCAAACCCCTCTTCTGAGCCTTCCCCAAGAGTTTCAGGTGCCCTTTAACGGGCGTCCAAGAGTGAAGGAGAGGTGTGAGAGGAGGACCCTTTCCCCACATTGCTAAGAAGAGAAACAAGAGAAACGAACACAGAGACATGTAGAGCGGCGTGGAAGGTAGTTAGAAGGAGCAGGAGAAGTCCTCCTTCCATCTCATCATTCCCTTCATTCTCCTTGCTTAACCTTGCCCTTGTTCTATCCCCCTACTTAATGACAAAAGGAACCGAGGAGGAAAGTGTCATGGAATGGACACGAGAAAAGGGAGAGCGGAGAAAGGAGGAGAACGAACACGGAACAAGAAAGGAAGGAGAGCTAGAGAGAGGATAGAGAGATAGAGAGGAGAAATGAAGGACAAAGACCGTGGAAGAAAGGAGTGAGCGATGCTCGGGAAGAAGCATAAGAGTGAGGAAAAGGAACAGTGGATAACAAAAACAAGTGTCCTGCCCTACCTG